TCACCGCTAATAATAAAATTGCCTAGTTACTTAGTATTGGGATGGAGATGTGGTTGTGGTACTTGTTATTTCCTTTCATACTAGTCTAGTTACCTTCTAGCTTCCTGCTTATTTTTTATTCTATTTTTCTTTCTTATTGTTTATTCCTTTTTTATTTTAATTTTTTACGTTTAATTTTTCCTTCTTCTCCTTTAGAATGTTTAGGAACATCGTGTTTTATTTTACTTTATTATTGCACCTATGGTACACATTTTAATCTATTATAATAAGCCTTTACGGTTTCTAGGTTATATAAGCGTCAATAAATAAATAAAAAATAAATAAAAATTGTATATATTTTTATTTTGGTCTCCCAGACTTCTGTACAGTCTGTACAATCTCATTAATCATGGCTCTAACACATATCCACGATCAAGATAAAGAGGAAACGGGCAAGAATTTAACTGTTCAGAAACCGTGAAAGAATTGAAAATACTCTTAACGGCAAATATTTATTTAGCGCATTTTGATCCCAATTTCTAAAACTAAACTTACCGTAGATGCGAATAGTCAAGAATAGATACAATCTTCGAGTAGATGAAGATCGTATTGAGAAACTGATCCGATCACATCTATCCGATATTGAAAAGTGTTATTCCCCATTAGATAGAGAAACCGTGGCAATTTTATATGAAATTAAATAATTCCATCAATATGTATGTAAACGTAAATTTTTGTTATTTATAACAACCTTTAAAATACGTTTTTCATCTAAAATAAGGTAACATTTAAGGGCATCCAATAGATTTCAACAATATGAAATTTGTTGGATAAAATGGAGATTACTTCTTTAAGACGCTCTTGCGACGTAGAATGGTCATCCGAAGATTAAGAGAAAACGAAAATTCTTATTTAAAATATGACAAGATAGGAAATATAGCAGAAGCGGACAACGTGTTAAAAATATCTAAACAAATGTTAAGGTTTGGATGGTCCCAGTGTGTCAATCTTACTTTATTACCCTATTTCCACAAAAAGTTACAATTAATCTAAGAGTCTAATAGCTTATTTCGGGGATATGAAGTGATTATATCGAGACAATTGCAAAAAGAAACATTACATTTTTTACATCCAAAACCCATTAAAACTGTGACAAATAAGTTCGTGAATGCTGTTGGTGGTCACAGCAGTCCAGAGATTTAGAATGTATTGCAAGATCATGTGAACCATGTTTAAGAAATAAGCTTTACCCACCCAAACGTCAATTACTACATAACAATCTGAGGGATAAGTTTGGTCCAGGACACATACAGACTTCATCGGTTCGTCCCTAAGTAGGTGGTGTTTAGTCGTGGTTGACAGTTATAGCAAAAGGATTGGAGTTGTTGATATAGGCAGTACTATTAAACGTAAAGCCATTATTGCTATTCTTTTCAAGATTTGGTTTACCCAAACTCTTGGTCTCAGATAACGGCAAATTGGTGGTGTCGAAGAATTCAAATTGAAAACAATGAAATAACAATGAAACATTCCATGCTACAACATTCGTGAATAATTCTCACTCAAAGAGTTAAGCAGAAAACATCGTTAAAATAATAAAAAATACCCTTAAAGAAATTTAGATCAAAATCCAGCAAATCACGACAAATTTAAGAGTGTTTGATAATGAATTTTTGGCACTGATTATTTGTCTTTTAGATAGTTAGCTCTCATTTGCTTGGCAAACCATAAAATCTATTTTGTTGTGAATTATGTTCATTCGAAATGTATTTTAAAAAAATAAGGGGTAAACTTGACTGTGTTCTTACACAGAAACAACCTGATACAATCAATAATAAAATCATACAAACTTAAAGGTAAACCAAATTATATAAAATTTTGGTTAAAATGAAAGGAATTTCGAATCTTGTATAACAACATCAGAAAAGCTGATCTTTTAAAAAAACTTTGCTCTAAAAAGTTAGCTTGAGGTTTGAGCGTCGGGTTTACAAGTTCAAATATCAAGGACATTAAAGAGCTGATTAAACTTGCCGGCGCTATGTGGGATGTATCTAAATTTTCGAAAGTTAAGGTTGTTGCGTCAATCTCACAAAACTGTTACAAGTCACAGATCTCAAGTGTTATTTTGTGAGACCTTAAACGAATTAAGGCTTATGATCGATCGAACGAAAGCGCAATTTAATCAACGTGATTCCTTTTTTTTTTTTTTTTTTTTGGTATGTTGAACAGAGATAGATTTGTGGCTTATATGTCCAAATAATAAACTGTTGTAATTTTTAGTCACGATTATGTATAAAACGTAACAAAAAAATAAGAGCGGCCGTAATAACGCGGAGTGAGCGTGTTAAATGTAATTGTGTGTGTGTATGTGTGTGTGTGTGTAATTGTGCTTGTTAAGCTCTTGAAAGTTAAACAGTGTTGCAAACTTTGGCTGAAAACGAAAAGCAATGCTATGGTAATAGGAGATTATTAAACGCAAAAACGAAAGAAAAAAAAAAAGGAAGAAGGGGAAAAAAAAAATTCTAAAAGGATAAATTAGCTTTTCTAATAAAGCAAGTTAGTTCCCCGAGATGACGTACATTTTT